ATATGGAACGCAAAAATTTTAATGTAGATACATTAAAATCTGATCATAAGACAGTTCGTTCTCAAGAACCTATTATCTCCACTGTATCAATACCATTAGAAAATTCAGAAATGCGTAGAACTACCCGTAGTCGGGCAAAAAATTTACAATTAGATTTAACTACATCATCTTCTATTGTATCTACAGCAACATCTAATTCACATAGTTCTGGTCTTTCTTTAACTCTTAGGAAATCTGTTACCGATTCCAATAATACATTAATATCTCATTATGATATTGTTAAGACTGATTGTGGTTCTACATATTCTTGTAAACCAGCAATTGAACCATTAATTGGGCGTGATCAGCCACTGCCAACTACAACTCAAGAATTAATCGATATATTATCAAGTGATTCTGATCCTATGCAAACAAGACCAATGATAATAAATACTTCAGAGACTGAAGAAAATACAGAAACTGTTCCAGATGACGTTCAACATTGTTCTATAGATATTCCAACAAATGAAGTAATTTCTGAATCTTCTTCACAACATGAATCAAAACCAGAATTAGAATCAGTATCAGAATTAAAATCAGAATCAGAATCAACACTGGAGTTAGGAATAGAGCCAGAACCAGAACCAGAAACTGAACCAGATCCAGAACCAGAACCTGACACTGAAATAGAAACAGAACAAAGTACTCATATTACTGATAATGACACAGCTACAGCTAAAACTTTAGTTGACCAAGATTGGTTTTCTGGAAGTGATGATAGTGAAGGTGTGAGTGGTAATGCAGAAAATGATATAGCATTACATGTAACAAGTACAGTTACAGAATCACAGCCATTAAGTACTCCATGTACAACTATTCAGAAACCTGCTACTAAAAAAGGAAGTATTTTTAAAAGTCGCTCTACAGGTGCAACAAATGGAAATAAAAGAAGAGCATTGTACAAACATAAATGGTGTGATAGTGATAAAGAATCTAGTAGTACAGATACTTCTAATGTTGGAAATAGTACACCTATTATTGCTTCAGGATCTCATAGTGGAACAGGCCCTGTAGCATATGAAGAAGAATTTGATCCTTCACAACTAACAAGAGTTGTAACATATCCTGAAACTGATACAGGTTTTGAAGATGAATCTGATGCTATAACAAGTGTTCGTTGTGGTAGGAAGATAAAGGGGGTATGTATATTATATAATTTATATATTATTAAATATTTAATATTAAATAATATTTATTTTTTTTAGTTCTACACAGTAGTAAAAAATGTGAAAAAAGCTCATCAAATTCAAGAAAGTGGAGAATTTCAAGAGTTTAATGATGATGTTGAATATATATTAGATACTTTAAGAGAAAACAATCCAAATGCTACTCGTTGCCTTTCAGCTATAAGATTGGCAAGCAAATGTATGGCACCTGCATTTCGTATGCATGTACGTGCTCATGGAACTGTTGCTAAGTTCTTCAAAGCTCTTCATGATGCTACAAAAGATCAGGTATACAATTTTATTTTTATATAGTATAATTAAAAAATATATATATTATGTATATTTATCAATTTTATTAATAAATAAAAATTATTATTTAAACAAAATTATGTATTTTGTAGAGTCTTGCTCTATGTACAGCAACAGTAATGTTTGTATTAAGTCAAGATCGTTTAGCTATGGATTTAGATCGTGATTGTTTAGAACTAATGTTAAGTTTGTTAGAATCTGATGCCAGTCACAAGGATGCACTTGATGATTGTGGCCTTAGTCGAGCAGAATTGTTAAAAAATAAAGAAAAAGTACGCCAGTTATGCGCAGATATTCAAGCTCAAGGACATGCAAAACATTTAAATCTCGATAATATAACTGTACGTATTATTTTTATTCATAATCAGAAAATAAAAAATAAAATATAAAAAATTAATTAAATACAAATTTATTTTGAATTAGGTTGGTCAACTTGCTATGGAGACACTTCTTAGTCTTACATCAAAACGTGCTGGTGAATGGTTTAAGGAAGAACTTAGAGAATTGGGTGGTTTAGAACATATTGTAAAAACAATCAGAGATTGTCATCGCCATATTAATACACAAAATATTACAAAATCTGATTGGACAGATCCATTATTAGATAAATTACGTAAAGTTGATAGATGTTTACGTGTATTAGAAAATGTAAGATATATATTCTCAAATAAAAACAATATAATATTTTTATATATTTTTATATCAAATATATTTACATGTATAAAAATCACAATAATAATTTTCTTTTATCAATAAAAAATGTTTCAGGTTACTCATATGAATGAAGAAAATCAAGTATATTTATTAAAATATGAAAATGGAATTTTAGTCAGCACTTTAGCAAATTTGTATCATCTCTGTGGACAAGAAATTCCTATTTATCCTACTATAGATCCAAGTGATAAAACTTCCACTGGTGCTGTTATTAGAGAATGTTTGTTTGCTATTATTAAAGTTCTAATTAATCTTACACATCGATTTAACAGACAATGTAGGATTTTATTATGTTTTGCTTTTTAAAAAATATTAACAATTTATTTTTAAAAAATATAATATGATATTTTACAATTATTTCAGCTTTTGGAAGTAAATCATTAGGTTCACAACCAGGTGTTTTAGATTGCAGTCTATATCTTTTATTGCGCGTACCCGAATCACTTCCTGAAGAAAAACGTTTTGATATGATGATGTTAGCTTTGATTTTATTGATAAATTTAGTGGAACAATGTGATGATAATAAACAACTTCTTATCGAATCAAAAGCTCCTTCATCAATAGAAAATATTTTTGATGGTAAATACTTTACAAATTATTTTATTTTCTTATAAACTTAATATATCTTATTATTATTTAATACGTTATACCTTTAATATATTAATATAAATTCAATATATCAATTTTATTTCTATATAAAAAAGCAGAGGAAAGTGGAGTAGAATGTTTAATCGATCTATTTTATAAACAAGAAGAATTAGCTCGTGCCGAAGAACAAAAAACTGATGCTATTTTAGATGGTAAAAAAGATTCTGAACAAACCGAAACTGTATCAACAACGACTAAATCTCAAGAAGAATTTATTGAAGAAACTGTTACAAAATGTTTGTATAATTTCTGGTTTATCTAACTCTTAAAATAATAAACTTCATAAAATATAATTTAAAAAATTTTTTTATAGTATTACAAAAAGCTGGACGTCATATGGAGCACACTTTAATAGGAGCATATGTAGTGCTTTTACTTGGTTACTTAATAATGGATAACAAGGTAATAAATTTAAAAATTTGATATTAAAAATATAAATAATATAAAAAAAATATATATATAATATAATATATATATATTTTATAATATATATATATATTATAAAATAGTATAAAAGAAAATAACATAATTTTAATTATAGGATTATGAATTGCTGGTACGCAGCAGACTTCCCGATAATAATTTTACAACTATGGTATCTGTACTTCAAAAATTTTTCAATTTCATGAATTTAACGGCATCGGTAATTATTTTTAATTTTTATTCATACAAAAAATCATCAGAAACTTTGAAAATATAAATAATTTATTTTAGAATGAAGTAAGCAGTTGTGGAATTGCTGCTACAGAAAAGGTGATTAAGTTCCTAAAAATCTCAGATACCCGTATTGAAGAAGAGAAAAGTGAATTACCATTATCAGCATTAGAAGATCCAAATATAATGCTCCACTTATCTTCGTCTTGATTGATATCACATTTACATATTTGATATTTTTTATTACCCTGGCAAGCAAAAAGAGCCAAAGTTATATGTGTCCAACGAAGGAAATTCTATCTATTGCAGTATGAATGGACCTGTTTCATATTGACTATATATTTTGATATATATTTATTCACTTAAGTAATTTATTGCTGTACCTTTCATTAAATTGACTTATTTTCCCAATAACAATAACAAGTTAGATATTAAGTATAAATTAATTAATTATCTAGAAATTAATATGATAAAAAACTCGCCTTGTAATTACGCATATGGCTCACTTAAATTTTTTAATAGCATGTATGTAATATTATTAATTTACTCGCTTTATCTATCAATTATTTTTTTTAATTTTCTAACTGTCAAGAAGAATGATTATTTGTGAAATTCTTGACAGATAATTCATTTGCTGTATAATGCTACATAAATTTTTAATTTTATTTTGAAATTTCATTTTATTTTACATTTTAAGTTTTGTTATATGATTGGCGGTGTTGGGGTTTATTGCAACCCATTTAAAATTTGAAATAGCATTATTTTGTAAGTTTATTTTAATATTAAAATTATAGTATAAGCCTTGTAAATGTAAATTTATAAATTATAATTGTATCTTAAACTCACAGTTTCAAGTTATTGGATCCCATTAAGAGATATAGGATTTCATGAATCTTTAATAAAATATTTTGTCTTACAATTTCAGAGAAAAAATAAATAATATATTATATTGTTATGTGTATACAATAAACTAGCTCCATAAATTACAAATTTGTAAAATAAATTAATTTCTTTTCATAAATGTTAAATATATTGTATGTCAAATAAATAGAACATAATTTTATTAAATTTTAATTTAAAAAATTTATTTTTTTATTTTTAATTTATAATTTATGTCATTTTTAAGGAAAATTAATTTTTTATTTCAAATAAATAATTTCTAAAAATTTAATATATTTAATTAGTATTTGCGCAAATAAAATTTTTGAATTGCAAGAGATTATAAATTAAAATTAGACTTAAAAATTTTGAATTCATTTCTATGAATTAATTTCTATGAATATGATATATATGATATATATATATATATATCTTATATGTAAAGTAAATAAATAATTAATGTTGATTATTTTTAATGAAATTTCAAAAAAAAATTTTTAATTTAATTTATTTACAAATATATGTATTAAATTTTTTAATTTATATTTATATAAAAAAAGGTTAAGAGAAAAATCAATCATATAAGAATCATTCGTGTAATATTAACTTGTAACATGACATTTAGTATTTAACTAATTTATATTATAAATTTAATTATGAAATAAAATAACATATAAAAAAGTACAATTATATATTTTAATAACAATATAACAAAATGATAATTTCATATTTTTTTTTAAAGTAAGTACTTATTTTAGTAACCTTAGCAACTCTATTAATCTATCAATTTTTTACAAAATTTTTAATAATTAAAATAAATTATATTAAATAATTATATTTATTTATAATTATTAATTTTTAGGGGTATTAAAAGTCGAATTATATTACCATTTCAATCAAATATTACATTAACTGTAATAAAATTTAATTCATCATCATCTGATTCTTCTTCTGATTCATCTTCTGATTCAGATTCAAGTTCTGATTCTGAAATTTCTAATAAAGATAGAAAAAATAATGTAAATTTTTTATAATTTTTAATTAAAAAAATATTTTATGTATAATTGTATGTGTGCAAATTTTAATCTATTTATTTTTTTTTAGAAGGTATTTAAAACCATAGAATATTTACAAAGTGCAAAAGTTGCACAAAAAAAAAAACAAATAGGTAAGATATCAATTTATTTCAAGTTAAATGTATAATAAGATAAAAAAAATTTATTACAGAAAAAGAAATAACCAAAGCAGCTCAAATCTTAACTACCACATCAACACAAGATAAAGAAAAAATTCTTTTACCTTTGTTAAAAAAAATTGGTGATATACAAAATGCAGATAATATATTTACTAAAAGGTTAATTATAATCTTTTAAATTAAATTATGTTCATTTTAAGATATTATATATTATATATTATAATATTATATAAATAATATATTATTTATAGCAATATATATAAAGATGCAATTAAAAAAGAAGATAAAATAAATTGGGAAAAAGAAAATAATATCAAAAATTCAATTAAAAATATGAAATATCAATCACAGAAAAAATCTTTCTCATTCCAGAATCAAAAAAATACGATAAGAAATATTAACGACAAATTTAAAACAAAATATGATCATAATGCAACACAATCAAATATATCAGTAATTAGAATGTTACAAATAAAACAAAAAATGGCAAATATTAATGCTAAATTTGAAACAAAAATTGATAAGTCAAAAGAGATACAAAAAGAACCATCTATTATTAGATTGCTAAAAAACCAGCAAAAAAAAATAAAAAATATTGATGATAACTCTGAAAAAAAAATTAAAAAAGAACCATCTATTATTAGAATGTTAAAAAATGAAGAAAAAATGAGGAATATTGATAAATCAAATTTGAATATATTTAAAATAAAAACTGAAGTAAAGAAAGAACCATCTAATATTAAAAAACAAGAACAATTAAAGTCTATATATAAATATATAACAAAAATAAATATTGAAAATGATGAAAGGTTGCATATTTTATTAACAAAAGTATATATAACATATATATTAAAGTATATATAACATAAATAATTTATATAAAATTTTTCAGTGATGTAGAATCTATAAAGTTTAAAAGAATTTTCTATAAATTTGAAGAAGATTTAGATGTTCCTAAATTTAAAATGTGGGATACATGGGAAAAAAATGAATTACAATTTTCAATATCAAAATATCCTAAAAACGCATTTCAGGAAATGATTGAATGGACTAAAGAAGGAAAATTATGGAAATTTCCTATAGATAATGAACAAGGTATTTATAAAATATAGAATTTACTATTATTTTATATATAATTTATGTTATATATAATGTAAATTTTTTTTTCATAATATAGGGATGGAAGATGAATATAATGTACATTTCTCAAAGCATGTATTTTTGGAACATCATTTGGTACCATGGTGTCCCTCTAAGGGTCCAATACGACATTTTATGGAATTAGTATGTATTGGACTTTCAAAAAATCCATATATGACAATTGAAGAAAAATATGATCATATAATGTGGTATAAAGATTATTTTAAAGATAAACAAGATTTATTACAAAAATTAGGTATTGTAGAATAAAGAAAATATTTGTAAAAAATATATAAAATGAAATATTAATTGTTTTTAAAAAATAAAAATTTAATAAAATATAAGAATTTTATTTCTTTAAATTATATTTTATAAATAAACATTGAATAAAATGATACTTAATATTATATGATTTTTTTATAAAGAAATTAAATAAGTTATTCAATATTTATAAAATCATAAATATTGAAATGAAATATGAAAATATGAAAAATAAAACAAAAATATTAATATTTGAAATTTACAAGTAAATAATTTATTTATTAATAAATAAATAAATTAATTAAATTATAATTTTTTCCTAAATTAATTTAAATATTTAAATTAATTTATGAAAAAAAAAACGATATAAAACGATAGTTGGAATTGAAAACTATTAGATCAAATGGCCAATGAAATTATCGAATTGAGATTTGAGGTTAAGATTTAAGATTGATTGGTTTAATATATATCTATGTTATAGATTAATTTTAATATTAAAATTTCTGAAAAAAAATGATTGAAGTTGAAAATATTGAAGACCAAAATGGATTACGCCTAGATGGTAGACGAGCATTAGAATTAAGACAAATTCGTATAAAAATGGGAGTTTTTGGACAAGCTGATGGAAGTGCTTATATCGAACATGGTAACACTAAAATTTTGGTTACAGTATATGGACCTCATCAGGTTAACAATTTTTCATATATTATAATTTTAATATTAATATATTAAATTATATATAATTGATGTATTTATTTAGCCAAGAAACTCTACAGGCAGAAGTACAAGTAAAGTTACTAAAGGTATTGTAAATTGTCAATATAGTATGGCAGTATTTAGTTTATCTTCCGGAGAACGTAAACGCAAACCAAGAGGTGATAGAAAATCGCAAGAAAGATCTCTTCAATTAAAACATGCAATGGAAGCAATAATACATCTAGAATTATATCCACGTTCACAGATAGATATTTATGTAGAAGCATTACAAGTTGATGGAAGTGAATATTGTGCATCTGTAAATGCAGCTACACTTGCTTTAATTGATGCTGGAATTCCTATTAAGGTAATATATAATAAAATAGAAAATAAATATTTTATAATTTTCATCAAAAAATTTTTTTCAAACAAAACTATTATTTTATTTTTATAGAATTATGCTATAGGTTGTACTGTAACATTAATTAATTGCCCATCTTTAGAAGATGAAGATAATACATTAGAGAGAGGAGTATTAGATGCAAATTATATAGAAGAATGTGCTCCTGGTGTTACTTTATCTGTTGTTGCATTACCAAATAGTGATGGTATATCAAAAGATGGATTAATAGTAGTAGCACAAGGTGCAGGACAAAGATTACATTTGTCTCAATTTGAATCATTGAAAGCTCGTGTATTATGTGGATGTCAAGATATAAAAACTATTTTAGATCATGCAGTCAGACAATATTTAACAGAACAATCACTTCCTTCTCTTTTTTAGATATATAAATAAAAAAATTATTCATAAAAAAAATATTAAATAATATACCAACAATTTTTTTATAAAAAATTATATAATATATAAATTATATTCATTAAAATTTTTTAAATTTATTTTTTAAAAATTTATATTTTTTACATTATAAGTGATATATATATATATCATTATATATCATTATATTATAAACAATCAACATATAAATTTCTTTAAAAATATTAATGCTTGTTTATTTTTTTGTTTTTTGCATCTTAAATCTTAGCACCAGGATATCTTTCCATAATCATACCTACACCCTGTAATTAAGAATAAGACAAATTTATTTAATATAAATTTATCAATAAGATAAAATATATCATAAAGATATCAATAATATTTAAATATTTTTACAATTTCTTTTACCTGTCCTCCAGCTGCACAAGCTGCAATTAATCCAAATTGTTGATCTTCTTTGATAAGTCGATTAGCTGTATGAGTAGCTAATCGAATTCCAGTTGCTGCAAATGGATGACCAATTGACAAAGATCCACCCCATGCATTCCACTTATTGAGATCTGGTATTCCTACTTTTAAAGATCTTCCTAAATAATTTTGTGCAAACAAATCAGAATCTAAAGCTTTCAAATTGGCTAAAATTTGTCCAGCAAAAGCTTCATGTATTTCCCACACTCCAATATCTTTAATATTTAATTTTGCTTTTTGCAATACCTAAAATTTATTTTAAAAATATTATGTATTAAAATTCTAATATTTTTTATAATTATAAAATAAGAAAATATTACAACCTGTGGTATAGCATAAGATGGTCCCAAGAGTAATTGATCAATAGGATCTTGGGAAACATAAATAAAATTTCTTAAATATGCTTTTGGAGTAAGACCAAGTTGAAGAGCTTTTTCTTCTGTCATTATTAAAGCTGCTGATGCACCATCAGTTAAAAAAGAAGCATTAGCAGCAGTAACTGTTCCATATGGTTTAACAAATGCTGGTTTCAATTTTGCTAATTTTTCTATCGTTGAAACTTGAATACCATTGTCTTTGTTTATTACTTCATTTACATTTGGAACTAGAAAAAATAATCAAATTAATTAACTTATTTCATTTACTCAATTTTATTTATTACCTTTATAGGGGACTATATCTGTGAGGTATCCTTGTTGTTGTGCTTTAGCAGCTAAAGTATGTGAACGTAAAGCATATTCATCTTGCTCTTTTCTTGATATTCCAAATGCAGCTGCTAATCTGTCACTACTATGTCCCATTGTTTCATTACTAGAAAATTCTGCTACTGCAGGTAACTGTAATTATATAAATAAATCAAATATAATATATAAGTATTATATAATATAATATTTAGAATTAAAATATAATTTTAAGTAAAAGAAAATATAAATATACATCTGGTACAAAATGTGCTGCTCTGATATTAGTAAGAAGTGTTAGTTTTTGTCCAATTGTTTTTGCTTTATTAGCTTGTAACATCAATGTTCTCATACGTCTGTTATGTCTAATTGGTATATCTGACAAAAATTCCACTCCTCCTGCTATGATTACATCATATACACCACATGCTATCAAACCCATACCAGTTGTAAGAGCTTGATTACTACTGATGCATGCCATAGTTACTGTATGTGCAGGAATACGATCACTATATCCTGCTGCTAAAGCTGCTTCTCTAGCAATATTTGAAGTCTTTACTTCTTGTATTACTGTACCATAAACAATATATTCAACAATTTCTTTAGGAAATTTAATTTTCTTTTGTAAAGCCCTGATAATAAAATATAAATATATATAAATTATAAAATAAATTATTATAACATAATATCATAAAATTATAATTGTAAATAATTATAGATAAAAATAATAATTATTATAAAATATATTTTTAAAAAAAACTTATACTAATTAAATATGATAATATAAAAATTTAATTAAATATGATTAAATATATTTAAAAAATAAAAATTTACACTAATGAATGTCTGGCAAGATCATATGCTATCAAGTTTTTGTAACTTGTTCCAGAATGTAAAAATGGTGTTCTTACACCATCAATAAATACAATGTTTTTAGTAACATTACTTTTAGTTGCATATAATTTATTATTTGTTTTTAAATATTTTATTGTAGAACCTAAAATAAAAAATATATAGTATTATAATTTATAATACATTTAAGAAATATAATAAAAAAATATAATTATAATTATCATAAAGATTATGTTGTAATTATAAATAATTATATTGATTATTTTATAATTATAAATAGTAATAATAATGATAATAATAAAGATAGTAATAATATGATAATATATATGATAATAAATATTAATTATAAAAAAAACATTTAAAATTTCAAATGAATTTTTTAATTATCAACAATATTTAATATTTAAGTAACAATCAATATTTAGTATTTATGAACAAAAAATTATGATATTAGCGACAATAAAAAATTATAAAATATTTTTACTTTAAAGATTTTCTACTTTATATCTAAAAAAAATTAAAAACGATTTATACGAATTATATATTATTCTTGAATTTTTTTATAATATTTATAGTATAATATAATTCAACATACCATACTTAGGAAATCCTCCTTTTATTAAAAATTTATTTTTGATAAGAAAAAACATGTTTAAAATCAATTTAAATCTATCTATTTTTTAAAATCTCATTTATTTCTTTAAATGTTACTATTTAATATATACCAACAAGTATCGAAGACTGAGTATATAAGTACTTTGACCTATATTTAAGTCTTATTCTCAAAATATTTTTATACATAATTAGTTATACTAGCACATAAGTATTAAATAGATGAACTAATAAAATAGAAAATGAATATATTCAAAAATATAGATTTTATTAGTTATTTCTTTTTTCTATTATTATGTACAATTATAAAAATAGAATATAATAGAATTACAATTAGAATAAAAATTAAAATTTCATATTTAAATAAAATTATATGATATTATATAAATAGGAATAAGCAAATTTATACTTTTATGTCATTTCGTTCATTATTTCCGACTTTATTATAGTATTCACGTACACTTTAAATAGAATTAAATATCGTTACATAGAAATTATCTTAATTTAGAAGTGCGGGAAAACTGACAGATTTTCCCGCTTACAATTTCATGTACGAATAATTTTTAGTGCTATGTAATGAATATTGATTTCATGTAGTTTCAGAATGAATTTAGTGCATTCTATTGTAGAACGTGAAAAAGGATTTGGTAATGTGTTTTTTTATGATTGTATATAGTAAAAACTTTAAATATATATTATAAATATAAAATAGGTTATATAAAATACCATTACATTGAATGTGATATTTGTATGTTTCATATATAATATTTATTTTTATAAATATATAGATGTAAATTTTGAAAAATTATACAAATTTTTCCAGCATCGATACGTGATTATGATATTGCTTTATATCGTTTAAAATGTTACGAACATGATGTATATCGAGGTATAACGCCAAGTACAAATGCACTTGATTTCAATCCTGAACCACCAGTTTTTGCATGTCGATTTTGTACCACAGAAGGATATGAACAAATAATTGCTTTAGCAAATGAAGATGGAAAGATTGCTTTACAAGATACAAATATCAAAAGTATTAAATCAAATCAACCATTAGAAGGAACACAGGTATATCGTTGTGATATGTTAAATTATTAAAAATTAAAAATTGTAATAGAATAAAATATTAGATATAATTTTTTATTTATAAAATTATAACTAATATAAAATATATTATTAAGAACATATAAAAAATAAATTTAATATTTTTTAGGCACATTGCAATGCAATATTTGATATAGCTTGGATGCCAGGAGAATTAAAATTAGTCACAGCATCTGGAGATCATACTGCTAGATTATGGGATATATCTGGTACTGATATTCGATTAATTAATCATTTTCATGCTCATACAAGAAGTATTAAGACTGCAGTGTTTCGTTTTCAGGATCAAGGTATCTTTAATATTCTATAAAAATTTTTATTTTATTATTTTAAGAAATTAATCTAAAAGAATATATATTTTAGCTGTATTTGCAACTGGAGCTAGAGATGGTTCTATAATGATATGGGATATTCGAGCTAATCATTATGAACGTCCTAAGCCAGATAATTGTATTGCTAATGCACATAATGTTGGAATTTTAAGTAATGTACGACAACGTAGAGTAATTAGTCATGCATCTAGAGCACAAAGTATTACTGGTTTAGCATTTCAAGATGATTTTACTTTACTTTCATGTGCTGCTGGAGATGGGTAAGTTTATTGATATAAATATATTATAAAGAAAAAAAATAATGTTAATTTTAGTTATAAATTTGATATAGTTTAATAAAAGTTTGGGATTTGCGTAAAAATTATACTGTTCACAAAAAAGATCCCATAGCTAAGCATACAATGAATTATACTGGACATAGTACAAGAAATGGATTTTCATCATTATTAATATGTCCAGCCAGAATTACACTATATGCTAGTTGTATGGATAACATTATATATGCCTATAATATATCATCTTATAATCCTAAACCAAGTAAGAATAATAAAAAAAATATATTATTGATACTAAATACAAAATTTAAAAATTTTCTTTTTGCATATTAGTTGCAGAATTTTATGGACATCAAAATCGTACATATTATGTTAAAACATGTTTAAGTCCTGATGGACGTTATATTGCAAGTGGTTCCAGTGATGAACTTGCATATATTTGGCATACAAGCAAACCAGGAGCACCAGTTGTGCAACTTTCTGGACATACTGAAGAAGTTACTTGCATTGCTTGGTGTACTATTGGAGAAACAAAAGTATTAAAAATGTTACGCTTTTTTTCATTATATTTTTTTTTATATATAATATTAATGTTTTTAAAAATTATATATGTATAGATAGTTACATGTTCTGATGATTCATGCCATCGAATTTGGAGAATTGGTTATGAACATAAATTAGATAATGAAGAAATATTAATACGTGGTAATGCAGAAGTCATTTCTAATAAGAATCCATTAGAAAATTTAAAACTCGAAACTACACCAACTGTTACGCGGCGTTGCATCACATCTGAAGAACATACTCCAGGATCTGATACTATATCTAGTATGTAATTATAATATAATAAAATCATAAAATTTTATTATTATTATAAATATAATTATATATTATTAATTTTATTTAATTTATTATTATTTTATATATTTTATTACTTCTTTTTTTTATCAGATATTACACCTGGACCGAGTTCATCAGATGCTTACAATCAAACAGAAGACAATCAAAATTTATTTAATATTACTGGTTCAATGAAAAGAAGTTATTTCCAAATGACCAATGGATCTTGGTCTGATGAAAAATTTAAGTCAATTTTATCTCCTATAGAAGAGAATCTCACATCCATTACAAAACGTATTCATTTAGAAAATCGTGGAGCACGAAGATTATTTAGTCCATATAATGATAATAATTCGTTATTAAATAGAGGTTATGAATCTGATGAACCAACTACAAGTTTATCAAATATAGAAAGTAGAAACAGCGAAATTAGTTTTTCACCTACGTTGAATCTTCCGAACTTCGTTGTTGATGGTACAGCGCCACATTTACTTCAATTATCTCCAGAAAAATATAAAGAAAATGTTGATTGGTTAACAAGAATGCGAAGAGAAAAATATGAACAAAAAATGAGGAAAACAATGTCAGAAAAATTGCCTAGTCCTGTTTCTTGTACAACGCTTACTAGGAGAAATACTAGGTCACGATCAACAGAACCACAAAAAATATCTAAAATACCGAGAAGTCCAACACTTTCTTTATTGAATTTCTTTAAAGTTACTGGTAAAGACTGTGAAACGAATATATTATAATGATGTTAATATAATACATTTTACAAAATTTTGGAAATTATCATGAATTCTTTTTATTAGATTATGTTTTATCTATGTTAAAATTCATATAGAACTTTTATTAAAAATATTTGTTAGGAATATCTGTTTTATACAATACAAAATTATATCCAAAATATCAATCAATGAATGTGATATGAATTTCAGCGCGCTTTCTCATGTTTATGATGTGGTACCTTATAAAATAAATAAGACTTACAATAATAAATATCATAATGTAAGATAAATATAACATAAAAGTATTACAAGTATGTAAAAATAGTTTATATACTCAATGTCATGTTTAAATGATAGTATATCTTTTATATATGCAATAATAAATTATTTTTATAACATATTGTATTAAAATAAAAAGTTTTGCTAATTTTTTTACTAATAAACTTTTTACTATCTAATTTTTTCTAATTTTTATAAGAATCAAAAATTCAAAACAAATAAGTAATTCTTAAATTTTATTTATCTTATATACATCTTTTATCAACTTTTGAATTGAGGACAAAATACTTTTACTGCCTGTGAAAACAATTTAATTTCAACTGCTTTTAGTTCGTATTCTTCATTGTCGATATATAATGTATAATGTTTATCAACCTGTAATGTATATCAAAAATATTTATAAAAGTGAATTAATAACTTAAAATTAAAAGTAAATTGAAGTTACAAAAATTCTATCTTTTTTTTTTAAATCTTACTGTTTGTGGAGTTAATTCAATTTTTTTTGCTTCTACTACTTGTTCACACAATGATTTATTATTTTGTTCTTTTTTCCAACCTTCAGATACAAAAGAAAAATAATCTATATCCTTTGGACCTATAATAAAAACAATTTTTTATGATCATATTAATTTTTTTTAAAGATAAAATATTTATTTAAATACCCATTTTCACTTTCAAAGATGATGGAGATTCATCTTGTGATTTGTCTATATTAGAAGTTTCTATATGTAATTCACAAGTTGATATAGGTAATTCATGGAGAATATCACATTTTTCATTTATTATTTTACTAAAATCAATACTATCTAAAAAAAAAAAATAATAATAATCTAATAATAGATTTTAAGATATTACTTATTTTGAATATATAAATAAAAATATACCTCTAATGATAGTATTCCTTGGTGCAAATACATGCCACCATCTTGTGTTTAGATTAGAAAATCCATTTGTTGAATTTTTTTGATTACAACGAGAACAACCTTCACAAGGAAGTGTATATTTCAATATTACATCACAATATTTATTTAAATTTTCTTTATAACCATTAAATATATAAGTTGCATATCTATATATTAAATAATGTGTAAGCATAATGCAGATATAAATTTTAAAATATTAAAAAGAGATATTTATACTTTTTTAAAGGTCCCCAATACCAATATTTTGTAGCTAAAGCATTTGCATCTTTCCATGCACCCCACTCTACTGCTCCCATAGCATAAATTGGCTTTACTGGTTCCTTAGGATTATCCTTTAATTTTAAAATCAAATTTAAATTAATTAATGATAAATTTAAAAATAAATTATGTTTATATAAAAGAAATATACTTCAATAGGTTTAACTTCAATCATATCCATCATTTTAGATTTTTCATTTATAATTGCCATTGTTGCCTCTATCATTTGCTTTATATCAGAAAGATCATCGTATTTATGATACAAAGATTTTGCAATTTTATTTGTTTGTCCCAATGGCAAAATACCAATAGGGCACTGTTTAACTGATTTAAGATTCAAGTCATATTTCCTTACTAATCCAGTTAAAACATCAGATAATGTACCATCTCCTCCTGCAACTATGATAGCATCAGTAGGTGTATCTAAATTCATTATAATTTTCCGAGCATCATTTTGTGATTCTGTCTGTATTATAGTTACAGCAATTCCAGCTAAATGCAGAAGTGGTTCACAATAATTTTGAAATAATTTTTTAGCTTTCCTATAAATAATAATAATATTTAATATTAATTAATCAATAAACAGAATTTTAATTTATAATCAAACAATCAAACCCTTTTTTAGCAGCTGGATTTAAAATAATAGTTACATGACGAGGTTTTATATTTGTTGGAAGTGGAAGATCACCATATTGTGAAATACTTTCACAATATTGTCTCATTAATTGATCAGTACTAAAAATTATATTATTTTTATATTATTTTTAATTTATTAATAGTTAATTTAATCATAATAGTTAATTTTATCATAAAATTAATATATATATATATTATAAATATAAATATTATATATATTATAAATATTTCAATTAAAAATAATCCAATTTTTTAAAATTATATCTTACTCATATATTTCTTTACTATATGAAATTCCATATGTTAAAGCTGCACCTCCTATAAGAGATTTTTTCCAGTTATTTCGTATAGTTCGGAAAAAATTTAATATTTTAGCCATTTTTTAATTTTCTATTTTTAATAATATAACCTTTCTAAATCTATAGCTGATATATTTTACATATTTATTTAATGTTTTAATTTAATGTTTTTAATTTAATAATGTTTTAAATTTTTAAAAACATACATCTATTATAAGAAGTTAATGTAGATGAAATTTTTATTCTTTGCATTATAATGTTTTTATCTGAAAGGTAAATATTTATTTATTTAATAATTTCAATAAAAATTTATCAAAAACTATATATAATAAAAATATTTTGTATTATTCATATTTTAAAAAATTGTTTAAATTTTATGAAAATTTAATCTTTCTTTAATTATTTTTTTCAATTCCTTCTTTATATGAATAAATTATATGAAACAAATTGACTGAAAGATTATTTTCATACTCACATGTTTTGAACTGTTTATAAGATTCCATTTAAATTACAATACACAAATATTAGAAAATATTTTTTGTTTAATTAGAATATTAAATTTTAAATAATAAATTCACTTATGATATTGATAAATATTATTTTATATAATAATTAAATTTTATATTTTTTATTATAAATATGAAAAAAAGGTATAAAAAATGTTATGTAATAATTGCTCCATCTAGATTTTTCAACATATAAATACGATTTTATTTCTAAATTTGTCAAATATTATCATATTAATCACTTTTTCATGATTAAAATTAATTGTTCATAGAACAGTTTTTTATGTGGTATTATCTTTCTCTATGCATCATCATTATAAAACAAAAAGATTTCAAAAAAAGATCGATAAAACTATTATGAATTCTTTCTTTTTGTCAATTACTTAAACAGAAGACAGTAGAAAAGAAGTTACGCCAATTGCATATTTGTAGTATAACATAAAGCAAAATAAAAAAAATTCTTAAGCTTATTTTCCAGTTTCACTATATTATCACCCATGCTATATACAGTCCTGAACAAAGTTCGATTCTCATTTGTCGTTTTACAAATGGGCAATAGTTTTCCAACAGCAGCCATTTTGTGTCTTAAGACATCATCCGAACTGAAAGTGTTAAGGTGGACAGCATTGCTGTGAGCTAACAATAAGACACTTTCATAAGTATCAGCCATTTTATCAGTTAATTTCATTTACAAAGGAATTAACGGACAATAAATTTATGTAACACGTAAATGTGCGAATTTTTTATTCGTATATTTAAGTATACGTAAAAATAATATGTTTTTACGGATGACAGGTCAGTGTAATAATTATTTTGATTCTGTCACTTGTCGATGGTTATGTATAGTTACTGTATTTTGTAAAACGTATTAAATTCATAAGATTACATATTCATTATTTTATAAATGTTGCGTATTTTCTGTATTTTTAAATTGTATTAAAAAAATAATATTTTATAAAATTTATGTAATAATAAATAATTAATTAAGCATTTCAAAATGAAAATTACAGTAATTGAATTATATTTTTAGTTTTATATTTTCTAATTTTATGTTCGTATTTTGTAATATTGCATTTATATATAATATTAAAAATTAATAGAATAATTTATAAAATATATGAAATATAGGATATATGTATATATTTAAATAATTTAATAACTTATTTATATTTAAATCATCTTCTTTTCTTCTTAATATTACTTTTTTTTATTTAGAAATTGATTTTTTTTTAAATTTAAGTGTCATATAGAATAACTATATAATGCAAATAATTAAAAATATAGAATGAAGTTCTTCTATATTTATTGTAGATTTTTTTAAAATCAATATTAAAATAATTTCCAAGTATACATGCATTTTTTTCTTTCTTGAATATTTTTAACCTTAATTTTCAAAATGATAATTTATTTTAAAGATATTGAAAATCTTAATACAATAAAGTTTATTGAATATTTTGAAAAAATAAAAGAATCATTAATAAATGTTAATAATCATTCAATAATTGTAATTATATATTTAATAATTACATTTAACTTAATTAATTATATAATTTAATTAATAATTAGTTTATATAATTTTGTTTGATTACCTTTACATTATATTAAGTAAATATTTATAAATTTATTTTGCATATATTATTTGTATATATTATTGTTGAATATTTTGAAATTTTGAAATTTTATAAAAGTTGTTGTCAATTTAAAAATAAACTAATTTTTATATATATTTTTATATAATTTTTAAAATCATGTTTTACAAAATACAGAAAAACTTTATTTTATATTTTTAATTTATTATATTTTTATGTTTTTAATTATTTGTTATATATATGACAAATTATAATCACCACATATATAATCATAATATTCATATAAATTTACATTACAGATAAAGTCAAATTGTAATATAAATATTGATAGATGAAAAGTACAAGTGAAATATTTATTATATAGAAAATTGTAGATTGATGATATTAAAAAATGGATTCTAAAAGTTATCATAAGGTGTATAAAGAAGTTGATGATATTGAATTGTCTACATCCAACAACAAAGCAGATGAATTAATACAAGAACTTGTTGAACCGTTGCTTGATAATGAATGTGATATTGTTAATAAAAAAAATATATTTGAAGAAAATGAGAATAAAAATTCTCAGTTAGATACATCATTTTCTATTTTTAATTCTACAATATCATCAGAGGCAACTACCTCTCAAGACAATATTCCAAGTTCATCAAATGATACTGAATCAAGTTCTCCATCTAATAATCAAAATAAGTGTAAAAGAAGTATTTCAAAAGGTAATTTAATAATATTTTAGTACTTAAATATTTTATTCATATATGAATTATGAAATATTATATTTAATTTATAGCTCAAGTGAATGATGATAGTTTTAATGATAGCAATAGTTCTAATGAGGAATCAAGTAAACATCAAAAATTAAATGAAAATATGTGTAATAAATCAAAATTTGAAAATAAAAGTGTAGATAATACACAATTAATAAGGGAATCTAAGGATAATTGTAGTGAAAGAACTACTGAAGATGTTGAAATGAGACCAGGTAATTGGTAAAAAAGAGATATGTAAAATTTTTAAAAGATTTTCGTACTACATTGTATTTAAATGTAGAAACTGAGGCAACTGCAGTTCCTAGAGAAATAAAGAATGATGAAGAGGGGCTAGAAATTGATAGTGATGCTACACGTTCTGAAGAAGATGAAGGTTTGTATTGTTAAGTTTATTAATTTCATAGTTTGAAAAAGTATATTATTTTTATTGCTGAATATTAATAGAAATAATAATAGAACAGAGATTGAGACAATTAGAGGAGTTTCTTTCATCAAATTATTCAAATTTTGGTACGGAACAAACATCTAGTGAAGAAGAATCAGATACTCCTGCTTGTTTAAAAAAGAAAAAACCAAAACCAAATTGGTTTGTGGTACCAGAACTCCTTCATCGTGAAATGGGCATCAATCCATCATTTCAACGTAGATATTATGGCTCCTTACATGTTGTAGAACATTTTGAACTTATGTATAAACTTAAAGAACATGAGGTATATATTCATATTTTAAATTTTATATTTAAAAGATTAAAATATATAATTGTATCACTTTTATAGGGTTGTGTTAATTCTTTAAATTTTAATAAAAAAGGAAATTTATTGGCCAGTGGTTCTGATGATTTAGCTGTAGTTATATGGGACTGGGCAATAGGAAAAAAACATCATTCTTTTGCTAGTGGTCATAGGAGTAACATGTTTCAAGTATTTAATGTTTAAAATACATTAATATATTTTAAATAAATAAAATTTCTTTATTTTGCAATATTATATAAATTTATATTATTATTAATTTTCAGACCAAATGGTTACCATTTGATGTAGAAAATTTAATGGCCACATGTGCTCGTGATGGACAAGTACGTTTATTAGATATTAGACGTGGTGTTTCACGAAAACTAGCTACGCACAACGCGCCAACTCATAAACTTGCACTTCATCCGGATACACCACATGTAATTGTGTCTGTTGGTGAAGATGCAAAAGTTCTATCTATAGATATTAGAGAAGAAAAACCAACGAAGTACGCCTTTCAAATAGTTTTCACGAAACATACTTTTTTATAATGTACAAAAATAATTTGATTGCATAGGTTGCTAGTGGTAAAAGATGGTTCCTCCCATGTGCAATTATACAGTGTTCATTGTAATCCTCTTAAAAGCAACGAATTTTGTGTCGGTGGTCGTTCTCAATCGGTTAGAATATACGATAGACGAAATGTATCTGCACCTGTACATGAATTATGTCCTGAACATTTGGTATGTTTTTCGAATTTTATAAAATGATAATTAATAGCAAAATTATATTCGTTTATAATTTACTTTTCATGAATTACAGCGTTCGAATAAATACGTACATGTAACTTGTGCTTTATATAACTATGATGGAACTGAAGTTCTTGCATCTTATAATGACGAAGATATATACTTATTTGATGCAGTGTTACCACAAACTGGAGATTTTGCTCATAAATATGAAGGTCATAGGAATAATGCTACTGGTATGTGTATGTAGCTATATGGCTATTATTTTGTAGATAAAATTTAATGAAATAAGAATTAAATAAAAATTAGCATTTAATATTATATTTATTTATATTTTACAGTAAAGGGAGTTAATTTTTTTGGACCAAAGAGTGAATTCGTTATGTCTGGATCAGATTGTGGAAATATATTCATTTGGGAGAAGAATTCTGAAGCAATTGTAAATTGGATGCCTGGCGATGAGCAAGGAGTGGTATGTAATCTATTAAAAATATAACAATAAAATTTAATAACACTCTGTCGTATAGGTAAATTGTTTAGAACCTCATCCACATATTCCTATTATTGCCACAAGTGGACTTGATTGTGATGTAAAAATATGGGCTCCATCTTGTGAAAACCCGCCTTCGCTTTCAAGATTAGAAAGTGTACGTATAAAGAAAACATTGTAAAATATAAATTATTATAAATATGTAATATTATTTTATTTACGATTTTTTCTAGTGTGTCACAGCTAATGCAGTGAATAGAGCACAAGAAACTACTACTGAATCCGATGCATTTGATAGGCGAATGCTTTGGATGTTATTAAGACATATTCGTCATACAGAAAGAGTAAGAGTACGTATTTACAAATATAAGTTGAATAAAAATATAATATAGAAATTTTTTTTAATTATTTTATATTGTGATGCAGAATTTAAACGCACGTCGAGGTTCTAGTGATCAAAACCAAGATGATGATGACGACGACGACGATGATATCCTTGAAGATTCTTCTGATCATAGTGATAGTCAATCAGAGGGAGATGAAATTATAAGATTGCAATGTCCTCCATCTTAGAGGTATTAAGACAGACTATTTTATGTTTTGTACATTAATTATACAATAATTTATACAATGTCCTTGAATGATGTTATTAAAAATGGATAATTATGATAAAGAAATGAATCTGTTTTTGTTTTACCAGTTTAATAGTTTGATAAGATAAATAATAATTTATTAAAATCAGTTAATTTATTAAAAAAGTTATAGTTGAATATGTATAAAAATTAACTAAAGATATGTAAAATATTAAAGAAAAATAAGAAATAATATGATCCTATTTTTAGCATTCAAAATTTATTCTTCAATAAAATTAAGAAATTGCTAAAAAAAATTAAATATTTACTATCATATTTGAAAAATGTTTACATTCTTGTTATTTATAAATTTAATAATGTTTTAAATTAATATTTTCACGATTTTTAAATAAATATAAACTGTGTTTTGAAAATTGTTGTTAAAAAATACAAAATTTAAATATCAAGATGTATAATAGTATATTAGCAAATAAAGGATTGTTTCTATGCATAATATTATCATTAGTACAATTGAATTCCTTTGTTATAAAAATATATAAAATAAAATGAATTTATATAAAATATAAAAAAATTAAAAAGACATAATATAATCTATTATTAAAACAAGATTTATTTTTGTTTTATTTTAATTGTGTATAGTAAGAAATAAAGAAATATATATATATATATATTTATTTTATAATAATTTTATAATAATTTATTTTATATATATATATATATATATATAAAATTATAATATTAGTATTTTAAAATACAATATTTTTCAAAAAATACCTATAGAATGAGCAAGACCTGCATACATGTATAATGTTGTAATACCCATGATAAATGTAGTTGTAGCTTTAACAATAAGAGTTGACCAAGGACCAGTTAAAAAAAATACTATGAGAAAATCTAAGATAAGTGGCCTATAAACTGTAAGTATAAGCATACTAACTACTATTGGAACAAAACTTCGTTTTAAATCATGTCTTGACCATAACCATACTAGTGTTGCTGTAGTTATATGTTGTACCTATATGTTAAAAGTTATTAATAAAATATTTTTTTCAAAATATATAATAAATATTACTTACTAAATTAATGTTAGATTCAAGACTTTTTTGAATATATTTCCAATCAAATTCTGCACCCCTTGCTCCAACCCATAACAAAAGAAACCTAGTAAGCAATACTTCAGCTCCAGCCCATCCAACTCCGGCAGTTAAAACTTTTGCATGTCCTTTACCAGGAATATTGTTCAAAACTAATAATATTCCTACCAAATCAGCTAAATCTATTGAAGATTTTAAAAATTCCTATAAAATTTATTTTATGTCAATTCAAATATATCAAATACATATATATTAATATTAAATTAAAAAAAAATATATAAATACATACACCAATTAAATCAAAACCTTCACCTCCTATATTGTCTGCTGTAGGAAAAAATGTAGCAAGTGCAAGCATTTTTACTAATTGTGTGAATATATAAATGCCTCCAGCTTGAATACATTTCCAAAATGCACCATATTCTGATCTGAAAATTTTTAAATATATTATTTGTATTTAGATATATTTAAGTTGTTATTTGTATTTAGATAAAATTTAAGTTGCAATTAATTATGTAATATTATTATACATTAATAGAATCATTAAAATAAAAATAAATTTGAAAATGATTATAATATTATTTTAATCTATTTATAATAATATTATTTTAGATATATTATTACATTCCAATGATATATAGATTAGAATTATAAATAGGTTAGGAATAGTTTCAATGTACTTACAAGCCTGAATATTTATAAGTAAGGTAATATGGAACATAAACTAAAGCTAAACAGTTTCCAAAATGATATAATGTCATTTTTTAAATAATATTATGTTAATTTAATTTAGATATTATTCATCATTAAATATCAAACAATTTATACACAGAGACTGATAAACGAAAATACATATATGGCTTTTATAAATTTTGTCGATAAAGAAAACTTCTGTATTTTTTAATTTCACGAATAAAATGTCAATTTTTGTTATTTTATTAATAGTTTTTAATTCATTTTAAAATTGATTGTGATTATATATGCATATCTTTAGTCTTAAAAATTTATTATTATTAAATTAAAAAGGATAGAAATTAAAAAAAATAATTTTTTTCAGGTATACAAATTATATTATATATATATATATATTTTTTTTTTCCATTATTCAATATATTCATTATTCATTATAATATTTATTCATTTAAAGAGATTATTTGATTCTATTTATTTTTTCTATCAAATTTCTAATTTTTTAGGTTATGTTTTACTTTATCTTGAATTAAAGTTATTCTTTTATATTTTATTAACTAGATTTTATTTTTAAGAAAGAAGGATTTAAAAAGATAATAATTTTTTATTCTGCTTGTTAATTAATTTTGAATTAAATTATGGATTAATAACTTTATTTATTTTATAAGAGATATATAGAAATTACATTACATTTATATAATATAATTTAAAAATTTTGAAATATAATTTAATTGATTATATGTAAACTAAAAAAAAAAATTCAGTATATCTAAAATTGTGTATTGTAATTGTGTTGTCTCCCTTAACACAAACTTTTTTTCTGTAATGTTATATCATCCTTTGTATTTTAACCCCTTTGAAGGGGTTACTAAAGGACACCCCTTTCAATCTCAAAAAAGGGGTAACTGCTAAAAAAGGGTGTTTTAGCTGGAAAGATATTGACTATATGTTTTTAATGTTTTTGATTTATTTTGATGTTTTTTCTATAACTAATTTTATTTTATCATTATTTAGTAAATAAAAATATATAAAACTATTTTATTATGAAGAAATTAGAAATTTTGTGAAAATAAAAATAAAATTCAATTCAAAATATATTATGAATTGGACAATTTTTTTCCTTATATTATTAGAATTTAGAGGAAACACCCCTTTAGTTATTGGAGTATTATAATCGAGCATAGTCTATCTTTTTAACATTTCAGTTTGCTTTTTAAAACGCATCTACCCTTTCTAGTGTTGTTGATGGTAGATATATCCCTTCCCTTCTTTCTATTTGGAATCGGTAGGGCACACCCCTTTTAGTGAGGGATTTAGAATATTCCAATGGAGCATGCTCCGTCTGCTAGCCGTCACAGGCTGTGTTGTAAAAGTTCTCCCTTTCTAACATTTGTGATTCTACTTCGAGGGATTGGTTGGGAATATTCTATGATTGGTCAGAGATGTTCGGGGATATATTGAGTGTACCCTGGTATAGCTCTTCTCCGTAGCAAGTATAGAAGGAAAGATCAGTTTAGCTGAGACTACCGTTGAGTCTACTTCAGAACATGTGTTACTTAATATTAATATAAGTTAAAAATATAAGTTGTCTGTGATTATACGATGTATTTATAAATATACTAATAACATGTCAGTGTGTAAATATATTAAAAAATTAATATTAATATTTCAATTATGTTTTATTTTAGTATTTGTTTATATATATCTTTTGATTATATAAAAAAAAAATATTAAATGCAAATTTTTAATTATAAATTTTATTTCTTTTATTTCTATTTTAATTCTTGTATAATATAATATTGTATTTTAATTATTTTATTTTAATTTTCTTTGTTAATAGTGGAACATTATAACACATATCATAAGTGGAATTTATTTTTTTCAGAAATAAATTTATTTGCATAAAAAAATAAAAGATTTCTTTATGATAATTATTTTCATTTATTTTTATTTATTTTATGTTTTTTTTTGGATAAAAATATTATTTTTAATGTCAATATAAATATGTAATTAATAAATTCATATATTTGTACACCAATTAGACATATGATTTATTTAATCATTATATAATTCTTATAAATCAAAAATTCTTATAAATCTTTAAAAATTATCAATTCAGGGTACACTCAATTATGATGTGTCAGTGATGTGTAAAATTTTTAATACATACAACTAAGAATGGGTAAGTTTGTATATCTGTAAATTAAATACTCTTATATATATGTAACTATTTTAGTTTTATTTCTGTTTCAATAGTGTACATTGATAATTTTTACAATAATTGTATAACCTTTAATAATTTAATCATATATAATAATTGTTATAGATTAGATTTTTATTATAATTCTTTAAAAATTCGTAAGAGAGCGCCACTATTATAGATTTTTAAAATAAGGCTATTTTCTTTACTTATTCAAATATTAACTTAAATGGTTTTAGATAATGATATTTGAAATAAAAACTATTTCAGTAATTTTTTATTACCAATCATTTTATTAAATATAAAAAATTATATTCAATCTTATATGTATTTTTTAATATATTTCATAAATATTTATAACATAATATATAAAATTCAATGATAAATTGAAAAAAAGCAAAAATTATAACGAAGTTATTACAAAAATAATTTTTTTATTAAAATTATGTTTAATAGTGTTTATATTTTTTGCAAATTTTTTTTTCAAAAATTTATTATAATTATAAATGTGAAAATCTGATTAAAAATCAAATTTGATATTGAAAAAAAATTAGTTCTTATACTTATATAAGTATAATAAAATAGTTTAATTGTTTTTTTAAAAGTAAATATATAAAAACTAAATTCCATAGTATATTGCATTTTTATGCATATATATATATATGCATAAAAATTTTGGTTCGTATAAAATTAAAAATATAAAAGTATTAAAGTAAAACGAATTCTATATATATATATAAAATAACTCAAAAATTTGAATATTTTTTTATAATTTTTTAATTTTATTTATTTATTTATTCATAATTTATATATTCTTTTTAATTTCATTATTTTTCACATAAGATGATTGTATTTCCTAATATATCATGAATTAAATTTTCTCCTTTTATTTATTTATTTTTTCAACTGTTTTATTATTATAGGAATAGATATACAAAATCATTACAATTATAAAAAAATTATCAATGTAAATAATGTTTTTAATTTTAACTATATTTTCATTGTTAGAATTAAATTATTAAATTATTGTCCGAATGTAAATATTTTTTTAATATATACATCGTTTGAGTATTGAAACTTATTACTCGTATCGTAAATAT